AGGAATATACCATTTTCTCAGAAATATATGGTACCTATGCAAAAACTGATCATATATTAGGGCATAAAAACCTCAAAATCAAATATAGACAGGCAGAAATATTAAATATATTCTTGCTGTATCATAATGCAATAAAAATTACATTCAACAAAGTAGAAAAATGGCAGTGTTCCTTCGGAGCCAGTGGCCCCTGGAGCGTATCCTCGGACTCATTGGGAAGCCGAGGCCCCTTGGGGACTGGAACAGGGGCTGCCAGGCAGGAGCCAGCATGGACCTCAATTCCCGTGGAGCCCTGGACAGGCAGCAGCTCCGCCTTCGAGATCGACAGACGTTCTTTGAGGAAGTTTTCCAGCAAGACTCGGAATTCTTCTTCCCTCTATCTCATCTTCACCTTGAGCCCCGGAGACCTCCCATGGGCAGCATCTCTTCTATGGAAGTGAATGTGGACACACTGGAGCAGGCCGAATTGATTGACTTTGGGGACCTGATGCTTCAGATGTGTTCTTGCCCTGTGAGGAGTTCCCATCCACTCCATAGCCACCCACCATATCTGGTGTAGGTGACCACCCAGAGGAACTGAACCTGCAGAGGCCTCCATCAGACAGGACCATGTCAAAGACCTCTTCTTCCTCTTCTTCCACTGAACTTAATAGCCCAGACCTGATTGGAGATGGTGTGGACATGCCTTTGGCACAGTCTGATGAGGAAGATGGTGGTGCAGAGCCTGCAGCCTGCAGCTAGCAGTGGGTGCTCCCCTTTGGACTGAACCATATGGGGCCTGGTCACAGCCTAACTTCAAACCCCAGCCCTTGCTAGGAGCCTTTGGGGAGAAGGCCCGACCCTTCCTGAGCAGTTGGCACCAGAGGGAGAAGACTAGGCAGCCTCCCAGAAATTAACTCTCTCCTGCTTTTCTGCTAATGCTTGCCGGCCTCCACTGCACATATCTACTCATTACCTACATAGGCAACGATTGAATTAGGGGGATGTGGAGAGAGGTGGAAGGTAAGGTAGGACACTGCTCACACCACATTTCAGAAGGGCCAGAGAAACCATCCCACTCTCTTTTTAGTGGACTTGACCAAGAGGACTTGTGGATGTAAATGTGCCACCCCACTTCCTTCCTTTTCTCAGTGAAATGCTACATAAACCCTTCCTTTCCTCTCCTTCTTAAAATGATAGATCTGCTATCCTGCTTTCTCATTTCTCCCACTGTTATGCTTCATTAATCTTCTCACCTTATTTCACATATTGAAAACCATCTCAAATAGTAAAAAAACAACAACAACAACAAAAAACAAAGTAGAAAAATAGATTAAAATTAATTGGAAACTAAATAATCTAATCCTAAATAGTAAGTGGGTCAAAGAAAAAATCATAGAAACAATCAATAATTTCATTAAAGAGAATGATAACAGTGAGATAATATACAAAAATGTATGGGATGCAACCAAAGCAGTACTTAAGGTAAACATTATTTCTCTAAATTCTTACATCAACATAATTGAAAAAGAACAGATTGATGAACTTAAAAAAAAACATGCAACTTTAAAAAAAAACTAGAAAAAGAACAAATTAAAAATACCCAATTGAGCACCAAGTTGTAAATCCTGAAAATCAAAGGTGAGATTAGTAAGAGTGAAAGTTAAAACAAAAACAAACAAACAAAAAACAAAAAACCTAATAAATAGATATAGGAGCTGGTTTTATGGAAAAAAAAATAAGATAGATAAGTCATTGGTTAATTTAATTTTTTTAAAAAAGAAAGAAAACCAAATACCTAGTATTAAAAATGAAAAGGGTAAAATCACCAGCAATGAAGAAGAAATTAAAGCAATCATCAGAAAATATTTTGCCCAATTATATGCCAATAAATCTAACAATCTGAGCAAATATAATAACAATCTGAGCAAATATAAATTGCCTAGACTAACAGATCAGGAAATAGAATGTCTAAATTACTCCATCTTAGAAAAAGAAACTGAACACACCATTAATGAACTCCCTAAGAAAAAATCCCCAGGGCCAAATGGGTTCACAAGTGAATTCTACCAAACATTCAAAGAACAATTGATTCCAATACAATATAAACTATTTGGGAAAATAGGGAAAGAAGGAATCCTACCATTTTTCTTTTAAATTACAAATATGATGCTGATATCTAAACCAAGAAGAACTAAAACAGAGAAAGAAAATTATAGACCAATTTTCCTAGTGAAGATTGATGCAAAAATTTTGAACAAAATACTGGCAAGGTAATTATAGCAATGTATCACAAAGATTATGCAATATGACCTAGTGGGACTTTTATCAGGAACTCAGGGTTGGTTCAATATTAGGAAAACTATTAACATAATTGACCATATCAATAAAAAAACAACAGAAATCATATTATTATCTCAATAAACACTGAAAAAGCTGTTGACAAAAAACAGTGGCCATTTCTATAAAAAAACACTAGAGAGCAGAGGAATAAAGGGAGCATTGCTTAAAATGCATTATCTATCTAAAACTATCGGCAAGCATTATCTGTAACGGGGTTAGGTTAGAAGCCTTCCCAATAAGATCAGGGGTGAAGTAAGGATGCCCATTATCACCACTATTATTCAATATAGTACCAGAAATATTAGCTATAGCAATAAGAGAAGAAAAATAAATCGAAGTAATTAGAATAGGCAAAGAAGAAACAAAGCTATCACTGTTTACAGATGATATGATGGCATACTTAGAAAACCCTATTAACAACTCTAGCAAAGTTGCAGAATATAAGATAAACCCATATAAATCATCAGCATTTCTTTATATGACCAAGAAAGCCCAGCAGCAAGAGACAGAAAGAGAAATTCCATTAAAAAAAAACTGTAAACAATATGAATTACTTGGGAGTCTACCTGCCCAGATAAACTCAGGAGCTATATGAATGCAATTACAAAACCCTTTTCACACAAATAAAGTCAGATCTAAACAATTGGAAAATTATCAATTGCTCATGAGTAGGCCACACCAATATGATAAAAATGACAATTCTGTCTAAATTAATTTACTTATTCAATGCCATACCAATCAAAGTACCAACAATTATTTGATAGAGCTAGAAAAAAATAACAATAAAATTCATGTGGAAGAACAAAAGGTCAAGAATATCAAGGGAATTAATGGGGGGAAAAAACAAAGAAAGGTGGCCTAGCAATACCAGATCTCAAATTATATTATAAAGCAGTAATCATCAAAATTATTTGGTACTAAGAAATAGAGTGGTGGATCAGTGGAATAGATTAGGTATATAAGACACAGTAGTCAATGACCATAGTAACCTCGTTTTTGATAAAACAGAAGACCTCAGCCTTTGGGATAAGAACTTACTATTTGATAAAAACGGCTGGGAAAACTGGAAAACAATAGGACACAAACTAGGTATAAACCAGCATCTCACATTGTACGCCACGATAAGGTCAAAATGGGTGTATGATTTAGACATAAAGGGTGAATGCCATAAGCAAATCAGAAGAGCAAGGAATTGTCTACCTGTCAGATCTATGGGAAAGAAAGAATTCGTGACCAAACAAGAGATAGAGAATGTTACAAAATGTTAAATAGCAAAGTTTCATTATATTAAAATAAAAAGCTTTCGTACAAACAAAAGCACCACAACCAAGATTAGAATGAAAGCAGAGCAATGGGAAACAACCTTTACAGCAAGTGTCTCTGATAAAGGCCCTATTTCTCAAACATATAGAGAACTGAGTCAAATTTATAAGAATACAAGCGATTCCACAATTGATAAATGGTCAAAGGATGTGAACAGGCATTTTTCAGATGAAGAAATCAGAGTTGTCTATGGGTATATGAAGAAGTGCTCTAAATCACTTTTGATTAGAGAAACGCAAATCTAAAGAACTCTGAGGTACCAATTCACACATATCAGAGTGGCTAATATGACAAAAAAGGAAAATGATAAATGATGGAGAGGATGTAGGAAAATTGGGACACTAATGCATTGTTGGTGGAGTTGTGAACTGATCCAACAGTTCTGAAGAGCAATTTGGAACTGTGCCCAAAGGGCAACCAAACTATGCATACCCTTTGATCCAGCAATAACAGCACAAGTTCTATATCCCAAAGAGATCATAAAAAAAAGAGAAAGGACCTACACGTGCAAAAATATTTATAGCAGCCCTTTTCATGGTAGCAAAATATTGGAAACTGAGGAGATGCCCTTTAGTTGGGGAATGGCTAAACAAGCTGTGGTATATGAATGTGATGGAATACTATTGTGCAATAAGAAATTATAAACAGGCAGATTTCAGAAAAACCTGTAAAGACTTGTACTAACTGATGCCAAGTGAAATGAGCAGAACCAGCAAAACATTGTGTACAGTATCAGCAACATTGTATGATGATCAGCTATGGGTAACTCAGCTCTTCTCAGCAACACAGTGATCCAAAATATGGAAAATGCTTTCCACATTTAGATAAAGAACTGATGGACTCTGAATGCAGATCGAAGCATTTTTTTCTATCTACTTTATTCTTTTTTGAGTTTTTCCCTTTTGATTTATTTCTTCTTTCACAACTGTGACTAATATGGAAATATGTTTTACATAATAGTACATGTATAACCTATATCAAATTGCCTACTATTTTCAGAAGAGGGGAGAGGGTGGGAGGAAGGGAGAAAAATTTAGAACTCAAAATCTTGTAAAAATGAATGCAAAAAATTGTCTTGACATATAATTGGAAAATACTATTAAATAATTTGCAAAAAGAGCTTAAACAATTTTTAGTAAGCAGTCATTTTACTCCCAGCTCTGCCAATAATGAAATGGAATAACTTCACTTTGAGGGAAGCTTCAATTTCCCTATCTGTAAAATGAAGAGTTTAGATGACTTATAAGATTTCTTCCAGGCTTAACATTCTAGGATTCTAAATTCACAGATCATAGTTCTATACTCATTCCTAACTAGCGAAAAGTTATTTATTTTTTCTTTTTTTTTTTTCACAGTCTGATACCTACCTCTGCATGTCATTACGTCTGCCAGTGGATGAGGAAGCCTTCGTAAGTAAGTATTGATTGAATAGGAGTGAGAAGTGGGGAGAAACAATGAAATGTTTTTGAAATGTCCATAGTTTGCTTTGATGGCTATGAGCTTAATCTTTCACTGTCAGATTTTCTAAAATGCATTTATCATGCCTAATGCAGAAACAAACTAGACAAAACCACTTAGAGTCAAGATAACAAACTGTATCCAGGAGATTCATGAGCAATAATAGTTAAAGAGTCACATGCAGATGTCTATGGCCTCCAATACTACACAGGCCCATTTATACAGTATTGGCTTTCTGTCTGTGCCTGGATACTTAATTCTGCTCCACTGAACAGACTGTTTATTTATCTTCTGGTTCAAGCTATAAATCCTTTGTGCTTACATTTGATATTTGACAAAATAAGATTTTACCTGTCTGCAAAAAAACCATCCTTCCTGTTTTTATATTCTAGAATGAGTAAGATGACAAATAAATGACAGGACCCACCAGAATTGTGTATTGGTGTTTAAATCAAGTGAATGCAGTAGCAAAGCACTCTCTGTTTATGTCTTCCGGCTAGTTTTCATTTTAGTCATACGTTCTGACAATTTTTAGCTATTTAGAGAAGATATTTAATGGCAAAATTGTTGACTAAATTTATACTCTTTGACTCTTAACTGCTCTTTTAATATTTTGTTGCTTTTCTTTGAAAAGAAAATGATGATAATGAGAGTTATGTTTTGCGTTCTTGAAACAAAACTTGAATCAGGTTTTCTGAGATGATTGTAATTTAAATTGGAAAATTTTACAGTTGTCTGTATGCTAGAGACGAATTTCTGTGTGGCATTCCCCAAAGGAATTGCTATCATAGTTAATAGCAATGTGCTTTTATTGTTTTAATGTTAGTTGCACTCAAAGAGAGAGAAGGTGGAAAGAGGAGACACAGGGACCAGCACCCTTAAATGAAAACTTTTTCCATACTTCTAAGAGTAACAGTAACATTTTAAATATCTGAGCAGCACTTCATGACTAAGGGATTACATGTTAACATTGGGTACTGAGATTATAAACCACAGTGGAGCAGTGAAGGTAGGGAAAATAATAATGCTGCCCAGATCACGTAGAGAAAGAAGTGAAAACTACTGATCAACATCTGATCGGATAGTCTTTTTGAACCTCTTAATTATAATGCTACAAAGAGAATAGAAATATTATTTAATAGTTTTTGTACTCTGTGGTATGGAGTTGACCCAAAATTTTCAAGGCTATGTCAGAAGCCTGACAGGTGCTAATAAATTAGGGGAAAAATGTCTTTAAATATGTGTGGAGTATATGTCTGCCCTGCTTAGCCAAATTTAGATTAGGCTGGCCACAGGGTGATGAACTTTTTGTCCACAAGAACTCTTGAAGACTCCTAAGTCACAAAGGGTTTGAGATCCAATCAGTAGAAAAATCTTTATCTTGACAAAAATCACAGATTCTTGAAACATAACTATAATAAGCAGGTTATTAAAATATCAGTAATAAAGCTTTATTTTTGGAATTACATAGCCATAATTGTGACAGCAAAGAAATACTTAAAATATTTAATTAAAAGTTGCATTTTTTAGTATGCCAAATTTTTACCACTCTAAAATGACACGTTACACATTTTTTTCTACAATGCTCTATTTTGTTTTTGTCAAATTCAGTGTGGCTTTTGTTTGTTTGTTTTTGCTTACCCCTCTGAAAGTACAAGTCTAAACCATCAGTGTAAATAGTGGAGACTTGTTTCAGAAAAGCAGTATAGGTCATACGTTAATAGACTATTGTTTCATTTGCTGTGATACACTGTGTGGCTTAAGAACTGGTGAGTACAGTGGGCCATCCATTCATTCTATGGACCACGTTACTGTTTTTCCAATATAAATATAAATATAAATGTAAATGTAAATATAAATATAAATATATATGTATATATATCAAATAATTTAGAACATGAAAGTATTCAATCATGAATAATATTTCTAGAGAAGAAATAATAGAACGAGTAATTAAAGTAATCTACATTTTCTCATATAAAACTTTTTTTTTTCTGAAAGAACTGGTTTGGTGACATAATGTAAACCTTTTCTACATTTTCACCATGATTATAGTTTCTACATTGTTTTTACTTTGGGATATATTCTCAGAGTTATGTACCTTAATGATTACTTAATTATAGCTATAGTTTTACAACTTTGAAATGTTCCTTATAATACTCCTATCACAATTTGATATTTTTTGATGGCATGTCCAAAGTGGGACTTTTTAATCTCCCGTTCTGGAAAAGGTACTTCAGTTGATTCAATAAATATTTATTAAGGGCCTGTTACATGCAAAACATTCTGCCAGGGGATAGATATTGTACCTTTGTAGAACTTATAATTCGGTAGGTATATACAATTCAGATAGTGTACTACAAAAAATATAATACAAAAGAAAACACATACGTGTGTATATACACCTGCATATACATATATTCTGTGTACATAAAATGTGTATATGGAAAGAGAGAATTTATGTATGCATATTCCTTACGTCAAACTTCAAGTAGTTAATTCACCTTCAAATACTAAAAGATGGACCAAAAATACTAAGTATGGTACAAAGCAGAAACAAAAATGCGTACTGTGACTCCATTTTTGCTTGCTTGTGATATCTCTGCTTTGTCTTTTCCATCAGAATTTGTTCTCAGATGTTTGAAACCTTCCAGTTCCCAGTGTTTAAATACCTTCTCTAAGAATCATAATGCTTTGAATTCCTCTAGTCTGATTCTTTCTTGGATCAAGGATTTGCTAGTATCTATTTACCTCGCTTTCTACCTTTCTGGAAGAAGTTCCTTCTGCAAAAAGCTAAAGTCACTTTCTTTTCCCTTCTGTCTTTTAACATTTCTTTTCCACTAAATCCTCACACTAAGGATCATTCTTTATGATTGACTAAGGAATCCGTTTTTAAAGCGTCTAAATAATTTTGAAACACCAATGTAATAAGTTAAATAATTTAACAGAGTAATTGTAAATATTGTAAATTATAAAAAGTGTAATAACGGGTTTCTCCACAACTGTTTTGAGATTTCTTCACATATTTGATAATCAAATACCAGAAGCCTAAATTATGATGTTTCTTTTCATACCAGTTCTATTTCTTCATATTCTCTGTGTCTTCCATTTACTTGAAATGCTGCCTATTGGGTATTTGTTATTATTTAAATCAAAAAGAAAAAAAGGTCCCTTATCTATTTTTATGCTATGGATTTTTGCACCTTTGTTTTAAGTGATCTCAGAATATATATAAATATATATAAAATTTTCTAGAGTTAAATTTCAGAGTTTTCCAATTCTTTTGTTCAAGAAGGAACACTTAAGTGGTAGGGTAGTGGTGAAGAGGTAGGAAAGGGATGCAAACAAACTAGATAGTTGGAACTACAATATGAAGTTTGAATTTTTTTTAAATAAAAAACACCTATTTGTATGAAGTTACAACTCAGAAAATTGGTGGTGGTAGAAGGTATAAGACAAGTATGATCTATTTCGATGAAATTGAGCTACAACAAAAGTAGCACACCTATGTGGTTCTGCCATCAAACTGCAATAATTATTGAACTCCCCTCCCTTTACTTCAGCCCACTTCAGGTATATCAATTGTACCTTTCTTTCTTTCTTTCTTTCTTTCTTTCTTTCTTTCTTTCTTTCTTTCTTTCTTTCTTTCTTTCTTTCTTTCTTTCTTTCTTTCTTTCTTTCTTCTTCTTCTTTCTTTCTTTTTCTTTCTTTCTCTTCTTTCTTTCTTTCTTTCTTTCTTTCTTTCTTTCTTTCTTTCTTTCTTTCTTTCTTTCTTTCTTTTTGGCTAGGCAGTGGGGTTAAGTGACTTGCCCAAGGTCACACAGCCAGTAAGTGTTGAGTATCTGAAGCCGTATTTGAACTCAGGTCCTCCTGACTCCAGAGCCAGTGCTTTATCCACCATGCCACCTAGCTGCCCTTCAATTGTACCTTTCTAAAAATCCACCTCTATCTAACTGCCTGTCACAATCAAAACCAGTACTCTATCACGGGCCTTATTCTCTATTTACACTCTTGGTGACCTCATCAACTCCTATGAGTTTAATTATCCTCCTCTTGATGATAACTCCCAAACTATGTACCTAGACTTAATCTCTCTTCTGAGCTTCAGTCCCCCCATCAACTACCTACTGGACATTTCAAAGTGTACATCCTGGAGACAATCTCAAACTCAACATATCTGCAATAGAACTCTGGCTTTCTCTACATACCCATCCCTCTTCTGTTTTCTGTTGAGTATTCCGTCACCCTGCTAGTCATGCCTGTTTTCCTCCTTGGGGTCATCCTCCACTCTTTACTATCCCTCACTCCACACATCCAACCAGTTGCCCAGTCTTGTTGAGTCTCCTTCCACAATACTTTTCACATCCATCCCCTTCTCTGTACTCATACAGACAGCATTTTAGTTCAGACCTTCATCACTTCTCAAAGTCTCTGACTGGTCTCCCTACTCCTTTCTACAATCTGTCATTCATATAGCTCCTGAAATGATTGTCCTAAAGCACTGTTCTGACCACGTCACTCCTCAACTCAATAAACTCCATTGTTTCCATATTACCTTTAAAATCAAATGTGGACTCCTCTGTTTGTCATTTAAAGCTCTTTACCACCTGGCTCTGACATCTATTTCTAGCCCTTTTATAAATAATTCCCTTTATGACACTCAGTCTACTCCTATATGCCTTTCTGAAGATTGCTTCTCATGCATTCTGTGATTAGGTTTGTAACATCCTCCCCCAACCTCTCCTCCTTACAGGCAGAGGGAAATGCTAGAGACTTCACCTGAAAATTATTTTAAACCCTTACTGAGAATTTGGGGACTTAGAATTTTTGCTCATCTTTCTAGCTAAGGAACAGTCACAAGGACTGGCCTCAAGATTACAGAAGCCTGCAAAAAGAATAAGCAAGGAGAGTGGAGTCAGCAACAGAAGCAGCTGGGTTCCTCGTCCCAGCAACTG